CCTGAGGAACACGGTGAAACCCCGTCTCTACTAAGAATATAAAAATTAGCCGGGCGTGGTGGCGGGCGCCTGTAATCCCAGCTACTCAGGAGGCTCAGGCAGGAGAATCGTTTGAACCTGGGAGGCAGAGGTTGCAGTGAGCTGAGATCGCACCACTGCATGCCAGCCTGGGTGTCCGAGTGAGAGTCTGTCTCGAAAATAAAAAAAGTTTAAGATATTGCAAGAATTCCCAAATGTGACACAGAGACACAAAGTGAGCACATGCTGTTAGAAAAATGAAACCAAGAGACTTGCGCGATGCAAGGTAGCTACAAACCTTCAGTTTATAAAAAACTAGTATCTGAGGTGCAATAAAGCACAATAAGGTATACATGTATACGCATACACATATGTGTACATATATACTATATATGTATACATACATGCTAAACTATATATACATGCATGTCTATATGCTAAAGTATATATATTAAAAATACTACTAATGTTATTAATTGGGGTCAGTGCTATAGAATATATCTATATAGATACATATATGTACATAAAGATATGTATATATCTATATATGCACATATATACATATAGATATATGTATATAGGTATGTTCATACATATACACACATACATGTATGTAGGTATCTATATATACTAAATATATATATAAAGGATACACCTATTTATACACACACACACATATATTCACGTGTGTGTGTGTGTGTGTGTGTAGATAAATCCTTTAGCAATGACCTAGATTAATAACATTAGTAGTCTTCAATGACACCACCATTGAAAGGTGACTTATATCAGATATATCAAAGTGGTGAAAGACTACTGATGTCATTTTATCTGGGCCAGTGCTAAGGATTAAAAATGTCCATGCCAGATCAAGCGACTTCAGAGACTTACTTTTCCGGTTGAAGTTATGGACAATTGCTCTACTACATTTATAAACTGGTTGAACTCTGAAAATGTATATGTCAATTAATTATTTGGAATCTAGTATTAATATATCATTTTTTTCCCTAAAAGAAAGCCTTATATCATGTAAAAAAGCCCTTGGGCCTTAACAAACAGTCTAGTGAATCAACATTTAAGTGCAGTTCTTTATTACTTCATTTGTGAGTGAATCTTACCAATCTCGATTATCTCCCTCTCTTCTTTCTCTCCATATATTAATGACTCTACCACATATTACTCTTTTTAGTTCAATGGCGTAACAGCTAAAGCATTAAAAATGAATGTAGCAAGACTCCACGTCTTCCTAGACTTATTTTTCTGATACAAATTAGCAATAATTACTCTACAATTTATAATCTAGTTACCCTAAAAATTGACATGTTAATCAGTTATTTATTTCAAACCTAGTATTCAACTTTTCTCTAGAAATGAGGTTTCAAATGTTTGTAATGAAATTCTTAGGCCTGTGAAAAAAACTTAATGAATCAAGTTTATATACATTTCTTTACTCCTAACCCTAATCCCCAAGTTACCATTTCTGGCAAAATTTACAGAAGTTCAACTTCAGTTTGTAAATACCCACCTTGCTTACCCTTGTAATTTTCTGCTTTCTCAAGTTCAGATACCACCAATAACTCTTCACCAATCATGGATGTCTTTTCTGCCCCTCAGATACGATTAAGTAACTGCAGACCTAAGGCAGGGGGCTCCATCCAATCTGATGGTGGGTTTGCCTTTGGGAAAATAACCTCATGTGGTAACAGAGGAAGAGACCAAGGTTCTACTAGCTTTGTTCTTTTCTGTTGACAGTTCCTCAGCTCCCTGCCCACTGTTACCTCCCCCATGCTAAGAATAGGACTGTCTCCTCTCTTGCCTCACTCATATTTTCCTAAGGTTTTTGGCTGCTGCTAAGTAAGAGTGACCAATGCAATAGGAATAAGAAGCATTGCTCTTATGACATGTTCCTTTTTTATCCAACTAGATCCAAAAAGGATAGAAAGGTCACTGCAGATACTACAGTAATTAGACTTTAGAAAACAGTGTCTAAGACAGCCTGTGTTGTTATGGATGCTCCACGACAATGAACTAGGCAATCTGAATCTGTCTTTCTACTACATGTATGCTTTTGGTAGTCGTGTGTGTGTTTTGCTTATGTGTTGATATTCTGACACTATCATATGTTACACCAGCATTTTAATTATTAGACCTCACTTTTTGTTGAAGGATGCTTCATGAGTTATTGTCATTTCACTGAAAGGCCGTGCTAATGGATAAAAAGGTACACAAACATAAAAACACACCTGATTTTCCTCTTTTATTGACACCTCACTTAAGCAAAACATCTTTGCACCAAAAAGGAAGTAGTTTTTCCATAAAAATAAAAATATCAATTAACACATAAGTAATGCCGTGCGGGTATGCACCTAACCATCATAACTCCAGTAAGTAAATTCCAACAATTAACAGACTCATCTCTTCAATGGCCAATTAATTAAACAATGAAGAATACAAATTAAACCTCTCTACATAGTAGAAATACATTTTTAATTCCCATGCCTCCCACTGCCATAAAATAATAGCTTGCGCCGCAGTGGCTCACGGCCTGTAAATCCCAGCACGTCTTGGGAGCCCGAGGTGGGCGGATCACGGGTCAGGGAGATCGGA